CTCATGGAGCTGATGGAGGATTTTGTGAGTCTCGTCTCCCCGTTGTCTTCTCTCTTCTAGGGTGGTAAGCTTAAGCCGACTCTGCCGTTCTGGATACTTTAACTCTTGCATTTCCACAATTCTTCTGGTAGCTGCTCTGTGAACTGCTTCAATCTTCTTGATATTAGATTTCTTATTAGAGGACCGTCCATACTTGGCAAAATTCAACATGAATTGTAAGGGAGAACAAATGTTTTGTATGCTAGGCTAAACAATGCCGGACTCAGCTTTTCAAATGTTCTCCTTACCAGTTACCATGCCCCAGCTGGCATGTGGTCGTTGAGTGCATAGCTTAACCCTCGTCCGTATTGGTGTTTTTCCAGCCGCGAACGTATTATAAGGGGGTCCGTTTGACCCCCCCCCCCCTTGCCGTTTCGCCCCTGATCGAACTAGAGCTTCGCGGAAAAAGAGCGTGTTGCCCGTGACGAGAGGAAGCCGATGATACCCTACTTTAAGGTCCTAGGTCATCGGTTGACTTTCCAGGTCAGGTCAATGACACAATAGTCGGGAAAATTGGGATCCGTTAGAACGTTGTAAGGGGTAGCCGCTATCAAGATTCCTTTGCTACTCAATGAGGCTGCAATGGGGTTTTTCGGGGTGCTGATCACGAATATCATATTAGTTTTGATTACAGATGATGCCTTCATGCATTTAGGCCAGGTCGGGTCAGGTCAGGTCAGGACAACCAGTAGAAGTCCTGCCGAGTATTTGTAGTAGGTGTCAACCGCCTCTGACATCTTCGTTACATGCTACGAAGACACCAAAACTATTTCGTAAATGTTCATATGGTTGCTAAATTCGAATTCAGCTCCAAAAACTAGCCTAGAAACATGCAAAACTTGAAAGTAAACCGAGGTCATCAAAGGTCAGTGACCTGACCTGACCTTCAGGTGACCTTGACACCCACCCTAATGCATGGGACCAACATCATATCACATGTCTGAACACTTGAAACCACGAAAAGACTGCTAACGCGCGGCTAATGCGAGCTGACATACGCCGAATCGCGATTCCGGCCAAACATGGTCTCGAAAAGTAGGTCACAGGTCAAAGGTCATTTGGGTCAGGGTCATGAAATTTTCAGGGTAGGTGTTAAATTGACTAAAGCGAGGGCACTGAAAGTTTTGTCGCGATCGACCGCTTTTTGCGCGAGTATTTCGCGGAAAACTGAGGGGGGGTCCGTTCGACCCCTCTCCCCTACGGGGGGAGGTCGAACGGACCCCTTAACACCCTAACGGGCGAAGGTTGATACGTGTGTTGAAATCCAGCGAGGAGTCAACAATAACACCTAGGTCTCTTTGTTCGTTGGTGTTCTCCAGCTTAGTACCACCAAGCGTGAAGATGGGCCTACTATCGGGCATCATTTGCTTGGCAGGTACCTATTCGAAGAGTCTGACACTTTGAGGCATTATAGACGATATCATATCTGCTATGTAAACTTCGTAATCAACCCCTTACAACCTTAAGTTCCCACACTCCTCCCCTCCACCGTACTCTCGCCGTGTAACTACGTGCGCGTCGCCGCTCGGCATCACTCTTCCTCCTATGCAAATTCCTGCCACCAGATGTCACCCACTTCGCTGTCTCGAGGCGAATAGATGAACGGGAAGAGGGGCGCCTGCTAGGCCTGTTGGGGCGCCTTTGAGGCCTAACTATGGGGTCGCCCCCGCCCCCCGCCCCGCTCCCGCCCCCCATGCAAAAGAGGGGCGCCTACGAAGGTCATGGCCATAATGGCGCATCTGCACGAAAGAGGGGCGCCTGCATGCCGAAGAGGGGCGTCTATGAGGCCCAATGGGGCGCCTCTACGAGAAAGAGGGACACCTGTAAGGTCTATAGGGGTGCATGTAATGTCCGTAGGGCACCTTTATGCGAAAGAGGGGCGCATTGCATATGAAAAAGAGGCGCATTGCACAAGAAAGAGGGGCGCCTCTGAGACCTATAGGGGCGCCTTTGATGACCAAATGGGCGCTTACATGGGAAAGAGGGGTGCCTATAAAGCTTAAAGGGACGTCCTCCATGTGAAAAAGGGGCGCCTGGGACTTGAGCGCCCTTCCGAGCTGTCCGAGGTCGCCGGAAAGTTTGTATATGGCCAGCTCCTGCTGCACTATCCTCCAAAATAATTCGATTGGATTTAGGCCAGGACTGTTCCCTAGCCAAGTGTCCTTCCCCAGATATCGGACAGATGGTCCTGGCACCGCCTAGTTCCGGAAGATCGATGAGATGGAGGTCCGTCCAGCATGAAAATGCTGTCCGACGTGCGGGACACCATGCGCCGTTGGAGCACGGGGTAGTGGTCTTTTAATGCCAAATGTACGCTTTTTCAGTATGTTTTCTAGGTAGTAGTCGGGATCGACTTCGTCTTTTGCTAGATCACGTCCAGCTGGTTCAGCTCAGGCCCTGCTAGGACATCGTGATCGTTCGACATACCAATGCGGCGAGAATTTTTCGCAGAAGTCTGTCGGAACTTGGGTCCATGCTCGTTTTGGGGGTCCGTGTGTTGAAACCATTGAAACGGAGACTCGTCGCCGAACTAGACCCGCTTCTACATACCTAACCCCGTTTCCATTCTTCTACCGGCCAGATTCTCCGTTTCGTGCAAATCTGAGGGCTCTGGGCTTGCTGATTTTCGTTATTTTGGCCGCACCAATAGTCAAGCGCCTTCAGTCCAAGGGCGTTCCTCCCTTATCAATGGACAACATTATCCGAGTGATCATTATGAATAACACTTCAGATTCTCCGCAGAATGGTCAGACTTCCCAGGTGCTTTCTTCATGACGATCTTGGGGACGGTTGAGACTCAGGAGGACCATGCTGATTGGGGCTTATGCGTGACGCTACTTGTCTCCCTAAACTTCTTCCACCAGCGCTTGTTGGTGAAAACGGGGGCTTTAGAAGTGTGAGGCAGCGTCCTTACATGTGTTGCCACTTGCCAGCTTGGAGCATGCCAACAGCGCAACTACAAACCTCTCAACTGTAAAGCTAAACCTTCATGCTTAGACGTTCAGTAAATGCGCCGTTCAATGGTTAAACAATTACCCATGCCAGTGACCCCCATTGGTAAAGTCAGCTTTTCAGATAATCTCCGCTTCAGAGACAGACTCAGGGACACAATTCGTTGAAAGGAACGCGATATTTAGGAGCACATTGGAAACACGCCAAGTTGCTTTAAATAAACGGTCGACGGAAGTCATCAAAACCTTCGTCGCATCCTATATAAGATTTTGTGTGGAGGGGAAGCGCGTGTGAGCTGAAATAATGAGAGAAAGAACATGATATCTCAGAACGAGCTGAACTGTTAGCTGAGGTCTGGATTTTGAGTTCATTTTTCTTGAGAATTGTTGGCTACGGTCGTTATTTGCAGGCTACGGTCGAATGAAAATCCGAACAATTACACATATTCAAGATCATATCTGGTACGTAAATAAAATAGTTCGTAAAAATTGTACATGCACCAACAGGAGACACTCTGTGGCAAAGGTTGTTGGTATCGAAAGATCATTTCCTCGCGGTTTTGATATGCTTGTGCTTTGAAATGTGACAAACCACTCCATTTTTGACTATGTAAGATACGCTTGGCAGCAAAAGCTGCCAGACCGGAAACGTACACTTCCGGTTTCGTGATCTGGCTAAAAATGCACATGTATTCTCCTAAAGGGTGCCTGACAAACATATGTTAAAATCGCAGTGAAAGTCGACAAAAAAAGTTTTCGGCTCTAATGGGTTAATCGACGCGGAAGCCACTGGGTATTTCGCTAAATGCCTCACTTGAGAGCTGAGACGGGAGAAACAAAGTGAAGACGCGTCAAATAAGGATAACTTATTCGTGCTTCGTTGGTTGCTTGGTAAGGTACAGTGAAACCAAACGAAAGAACGCTCGGTTGTGTTCGTCCAAAAAGGACGGTTTACAAAAAACAAACAATTAAGTTGTGTTAGATGTGTACCTGATTCCTTTGTTTGGTCTTTATTAATACTTTTCCTTTTTCCAATGATTAAAAAAATGTGCTAAAATTAGCGGGAGTCGTAAGCTCGGGACAAATCCCAAGGTTTGCTGTTGAATCCCAAGGTCCCAAGGTGGGGTTCAATATCCCAAGATCTTGGGACAAATCCCAAGCTTTGGTAACCCTGCGGCCGACTCTCTCGAACCCCGCGTCTGCGCGCCGGCGCCGCCAGTGGCGTCGCCAGGCCCCCGGGCAGGGGGGGGGGAGCAAGTGGCGTCGCCAGGCCCCCGGGCAGGGGGGAGCAGCTCGCGACACCACACATACCTACCATGTACATATGTACATATGTACATACCTACCTACGGGGAATCGACTGGCTGCATTTTTTCTCGATCAGCACTGTAGCTGGCAGCTGCTAAGGTAGGCAACAAAAGGACGACTGCAATGGCGAATAAATTAAGTTGACCCCTCGAGGTCAAAGAGAACACGCGGCTGAAACATTGTCTTACCTATAAAATTAGGCTTACATTTTCTAAAGTCGTCCCCGGATCCGTGTATTACTTCAGATATTGTAGGTTAATGTAGGTACTCATACCATCCCACTGCTTGTTTACGTTCGAAAACGCAGCTTCAACTTTACCCATTCTTCATAGCCCCAGCCCCAAGGCTGAGGCATCTCATGGCATACAAAGTACAAACCAGACCACATAATATAAACATCGGCGAGTATTTATAATAAAAACTTGCCAGTGGGTGCCGGTCGCTGCTCGCGACTTCGATCCCACTATCCAGGATCCAAATAATGTGGCTTATAAAGTAGTCATTAGAGTGCCAGCGATTCCCTACATCGTAAACTGGAGAACACTTTTATGAGATTGCGTATAGTCACCAAAATTGTAGGGAATGCGCATGGCGCATGCTTTTACCTTTTACACAATCAATTCGCTCCAGTCATTCGCAGGTGCTCGAAAAGGACCGAGTGCCATCTTTACCATTTCCCGCCCCTTTTGAGTTTTGACTCACCGATCTGTAGAGGCGATCTCACTGGATCGCCGTTCTCCGTGGGTTGGTCCTTAAGGCCGCTAGGCAGATGGAGCTGACGGCCGGTCGGTGGGAGCTGAGCTGACGGTCGGTGGAGCTGACGGCAGGTCGGTGGGAGCTGACTGCAGGTCGGTGTCCCGGTTCGCAGCGCGTCACCCCGCCTCTGTCTGGGAGCTGACAGGCCACGTTCAGGGAGATCCGTGAGGGGGATGAGGGAGCTGTCTGGCCCACTCAGCACCACTGGACACCACTGGCGGCTGACTGCGCAGTTCGGGCTCCGGTGAGGACGGACGGTGCACTTCAGTTCCTGACTGGACGCCGACCGATCACCGTTGCGTCTCCGGGGCGGCGCCCACTGCGTGTTTATGACCCAAGCTGTGACGGCCGAGTGCGGGCACACCCACCCGGCGGCCCTCTCTGATTGGACGCACTCGACTGACCTCACAGTGCCCAACTTCGTCACTAACGCCAACAGTATCAAACTGCGACGGCACGTGTCGTTAAACGTTCCCTCTGAACTGAGCCAGCGACTCAGCTATGCAGCAGTGGTCCTCCGGGCAGTAACTCATGGAGCCACACTTTTCAGTTTCATATACGTGTGCGTGGAGAAAACCACACCGCGAAGCTTGACATGACTAGTCATTCATCAATGGTACATCGTGTGTGAAAATTTTGACCAAATCACCGAATGTCAGGTCATCAGGTTCAATTACCCCTCGCACTGAGATAGGATGGGAGAGGGGGCGGATGAATCCCTTCGTCATATCGGTTTTGTGAATAGCCCGGCAGCCGATGGCAATGACACGTTCAGTACCTCCAATTAAATTAATGTTAATGTTACATGAAAAAATAAAGACCCTGACTTGAATGACCTCTAACCTGTGAACTGTTTCCCGTGACCGTGTCAGGCCAGAATCCCGATATTTAGTATGAGCGCGAGTTATTCGCGAGTTTCCCGTCCTGTTGTGGTTAAAAGGTTCCAACACATGAATTGTTGTTTGTCCCATGCGTTATGGTGGGTGTCAAGGTCACGTGAAGATAAAGTCAAGGTCACTGACTCATTTTGGCAAGACTACATGGCTCGTTTTTACGAGCTTTACATGTTTCATACGGTAGTTTTTGGAACTGATTCCCAATTTAGCAATTAGCACCCATTTGAACATTTGAAAAATACTTTAAGTGCCTAACTGCCTACCTACATAAAATGTTACGAAGTCGTCAGTGGTGGTTGAACCTGCTATGGATACACGGCAGAACGTCTACCTACTGGTTGACCTGACCTGACCTAACCCAACCTACCCCAAACGCATGAATGCGTACAGCGTCACCATTGATCCTAAAACTAACGTGGACTTTGTATTCAGGAACCCGAGAAAAAAGCCTCGCTTTACGAAGGTCATTGCATGGGTCTCGATTTTCCCGACTTTTTTCGTCATTGACCTGACCTGAAAGGTCAACCAATAACCTAAAACCTTATAAATGGGTATAACCGGCTTCCTCTCGTCGCGAACAGCACACTCGTCTTCTCACGAAGCTCTAGCTCGATCAGAGGTAAAATGGCTGAGGCTCCCGCCCCCGACCCCCACACCCCTCCCAAACGTTAGACGCTGTATATAAAAGGGGCAATGCGGGCGGGGTTTAGTGATCTAAGATGACCTGCAGGTGTAGGTATCATGTGGGCTACTGAATACTGAGTCATTTTCCGATTCAGGAACTCCATAGCTTTTAATTTGGCTTAATAAATAATTATAATTAATTATTTATAAATACCTTAATTTGGCTTTAATAATAAATCATTAGGTACACGATGTTTGAGAGCATTATAGTTAGAACGTTTTTTCGACTAAAAGAGAAACAGTAATTTTCTCCCATTGACTTCCTACATTGCAAAAAAGGTCGCTAAATGGCCTTACCTTAGGACACGGCAAAACAGAAATATCGAGTCAACCAACTGGTACCTGCAGGCTGAACTTACATACACAGTGTCCTGTACGTACTTAAGTAGGTACTTCATTTTCACGGACATGTGCTGCGTTTTTTTTTTTTTACCCTCATGTACTGCATGTAGCGGGACGTGATATACTTCGCCATGAGACTCAGCCCAGACGAGAATACCTACTAATAAACGCTCACGGTTTATCCATGCCAAATGAACAAATGCAAAGGAGGTCAGGTCAGCTGGAATAAACTAGTTAAAACCAGTATAGACGGGGAGCGCAAACCGGGAGGGTCAGGTTTTCGTCGGTCGGATCTGGCGCTGTCGAGATGAGATCTGCAGGTTTGTTCTGCTACGAGAAGCATGAAGACATAAACAGTATATTGGCATGGGCCGCTGTATGTATATTCTGTATGTATGATTGGACTCGGGCTCGGGCCCTGCAGTGTTTGTAAGGAGGGGCTGGCTCTCTGTCGCCCGGGAGTGGAGATCAAATGGCCTTTCACTAGCAATTCATGTTCGGGATGGAGGAAAATTGCGTGCACTTATCCGGGAAACAACATCGGATGGGGTAAAACGTTTTTTTTTCTCAGTAATTTGAGAAAATGACGTAAAATTAAAAATAGTTGCTATAACTTATAACTAGAGATAACAAGCACGTCTTGCTGTTCCTTTAAGCGTTCGCCATGAACCGGGCCGGCCCAATGGGCTATGGGCTGGGCTGGACTGCGGGCTGGTCTGAGCCCTTGAGAATGATCGATGGGCTGGGGAGGGCTGGCTCAAGGACTTTAACCCTCGCTGGACCTATTGGTTTTTTAAAGGACGCAGCGACTGATTTCCGATTTTAACCCGGCGGCCGCTGGGCCTCCGCGCCACCCGCCGGCCGCTGGGGGGTCATATAGTTGCCCCCCTTTACTTCTGCGACGATATCGTCGCAACGCGAAGAGATAGAGAAGCGAAACTTTGCACACATCTTCCTGAATACCTAGGCGAGGTTGTGTCCAACTTTGGTGTCGATCCCATTTGAAATGACGTCACAGTGACGTCATAAGTGAAATTATAGATTTGCGACTCTCATATTCCTCACGATACATCAGATATATGGGACCGAATATAAAGGGCCGATTATTGGTCAGAAACTAGATCGAAGTGTAGTTAGATATTTTAGGATGACAGCAGGTGCTGTCTAGTTCATTTACAGTCGAGTTTCGTGCTCAGCGTCATCAGAAACGGCCCATATCGGAAAACGACAAAACGTTATGACGTCACTGTGACGTCATCTTAGGTGCTACAGCCACAAAACTTTCCTCAAACATAGCCTAGGTATTCATTTGAAGCTATGCCAAGTTTCACGTTCGTAGCTCATCAGGTTTCGGAGATATTTCACAAAACGTAAAGGGGGGGGGCAACTTTATGCCCCCCCCCCCTCAGCGGCTCGTGGGTTAAGGTTTCATGTCAACCGGTGACCTATGTTATCAGCTGAAGTGACCTGAGGCACGGTTTTTTTTTTTTTTTTTGGAAATAACTTTGCAAAAAAATGACCGCAGAGCCGCAATTTTGGCGCCATCGTGTCCGCCTTGCTCAGGCGCGTCGAATGATTTTTTTTTGGGGGGGGGGGGTGAGTTCAAGTCCAGATGTTGAACTTGGGTCAAGGTCAGGTCAGAGCCCTCCAAGTCACGAAATTAGTCGAATGGAATCATATCGCATATCATTCGATTCGGCAGGCCTTCCCGAGTCCATTGGTGGCTTTTCTGCCTCGCTAGCTCAATTTGTTCGGGAGTTATTGACGAAAAACTGATGACTCTAGTGATGTCGTAAATGACTTCACGCAAGGTCAAAAATGCAAAGTGAAGCATTCGACCTTGCAAGAAGTGCACAAAACCACGATTGTGTGTGCCGTGCCCAGTGGCGGATCCAAGAGGGGGGGGGGGCATTAGGGGCATATGCACCCCCGGACAGGAGCCTGGGGGCATTCAGTACAAGTACCTATGCCCCCCCCATTCAAACTTACACTTCTTACGCCTATAGTTCGAGGAAATAAATAAAAATGGATTGATAAGCCTTCCTTATAACGACTTTTGTGATCAGAGTCGTTTCAGTAAACTCAATTTAGTTATCATTGCCTTTATTTTGTCTAAAAATATGTTGCTTCTTAGTTCTTACCACAGGGGAGCAATGCCGCTCAGGGGTGTAATCTTTACCTATATCTCTTTGTGGGGGCAGATGCACCCACAAGAAATATGCCCCGCAGCCACAATGATGAAAATGCACCCACAAGTCTTATGTTACAAGCGCCCTTTCCGAGAGCACGGCGCCCTTCGCATGCTCTATCGGCGTCCTCCTGACCGCCTCGCGTTCCTGGATAATATAGCGTTTTTAATCACTCGGCGCCCTGGGAGAATGGCGCCCTTTTGACAGCACTGCGCCCTTCTCATGGTCTAACGGCGCCCTGCTGACCATCTCGCGCCCTTTGTCTCTGTCCACCGTGCATCCCTCGACTGTTCGGCGCCCTTCTGGCCTCTCAGCGCCCCTGGACCACATAGCGTTTTCAATCACTCGGCGCCTTTCTACATGAGAATGGCGTATGAGAGAATGGCGCCCCTTTTCATGGTCTCACGGCGCCCTCGTAACCGTCTGGCGCCCCTATGTCCCCGCCAACTTAGCACTACTGACTGACGCCCTTCTGGCCTCTCAGCGCCCCTGGATCATATAGCATTTTTAATCACTTGGCGCTCTTTTGACAGCACTACGTCCTTCTCATGGTCTAACGGCGCCCTCCTGACCATCTCGTGCCCTTATGTCTCTGTCCACCGTGCATCCCTCGATTGTTCGGCGCCCTTCTGGCCTCTCAGCGCCCCTGGACCACATAGCGTTTTCAATCACTCGTCGCCTTTCTATGAGAATGGCGCCCTTTTCATGGTCTCACGGCGCCCTTGTAACCGTCTGGCCTACCAGTCCCTACCAACTTAGCATTACTGACTATGCGGCGCCCTTCTGACCTCTCTTCGTCCCTGGATCATATAGCATTTTAATCTATTGGCGCCCTTTTGGGAGAATGACGCCGTCGCCCTTGTCATGGTGTCTCGGCGCCCTTGTAACCTTCTGGCGCCCCTACGTCCCCTAGGCGGCCTGGCGCCCCTACAGCTGGGCACCCACAATTATTATGGGAAAATTACACCCCTGATGCCGCTTCAACCCTATTGACCGTATTGTCTAACGACGGCAGTCATATTGTAGGTACAAACCAGGAATCGGTCGCCGCCTATGCTTGGGAATAGGGACGGTTAGAATACGATTTACCTGTATGGCCACAGCCAGCGCAGCGTAACCGGGGAGGGGGGGGGGGGGCACAAGGGGCGCGTGCCGCCTCATTAGATGCATCAGGTGCCCTATGGGCCCGAGAGGCCCTGCAGTGCCAATTAGCCGCTCAGGGTCCAAGTGTGCCTTATAAAAGACCCGCAGGACTCGTGAGAGCACCTCACGGCGTTGTAAAGTTGAGGGCGATGGCGTTGTAAAGTTGCGGCATCTGAGGACCGTGCAAAAGTTCACTTATGATGTCATATGTGACGTCACTTATGACGTCATAGGTCAGTGACCTGACCTAACCTGAAAATGCGGCTGGTGTCACAAGATCTGGCTTGAATCAAAGGTCAATTATGCAAGTTTCAGCTCTTTATCGCCGGCGTGTTCCCACTTCCCAGACATCGCGAAAAAAAACAGTAGTGCCTATGATGGGGGACGGCACCCCACCCCCCCCCCCCCCCTGTCCGGGTTCACAATCACGTCTCACGACGGAGGCAAAACCATGACTAGCTTATTGGGCTAATAACGCATGCATGACATTTCATTGTCCATATTTTTTTTACCACCTTTGGATGACATCTAACGTACCTAACACCTGTATGCTGACCATAATTTTTAATCCATTCATTTTGACGGGCCGGATCGGGCTGGGCTTTGACACCTTTACCCGATTACCATGAACGGGTTCGGTTGACGGGGGCCGGGGTCAAGCTGGATTGAGATTTTGCGGCCTGTGGCGAACACTACACCATTGATCGTCTTTTTAAATTTATTTTCACGATTGCCTGGAACGTGAAAGTATGCACCTACCCGGAATAAGGAATATTTGCGCCGCCCAGATTACGTCACACAATTTGGTAGCGATATGGTAGTAATATAGGAAGACGGTAATGGAGTGCGTGAGACAATAATCTTAAGTTTTTTTCTATGCTTACAGCGCGATGCAAAAATATATGGGCGGGCACGAGTTAAGCTTTTCTATGTGACTTTAAAAGGAAATATTGGGTAACGTTCACATTCAAGTTAGGAACAGATGCATATTCAAGCTACTCCTTTGATATACTTCACACTCACCTGTTCACCTGTTGGGGGTTCCCTGCCTTCCAGAGTACAGCATAGAGGATGTGCATAGGATACGTGAGGAAGGAACCCGCGAACGTAGGGCTCGCCCGGCGGAGACACCACAAGGGGGTGCTGCCAAGCCGGGAACAAGAGCCTGCATAGTGACAAACACGAATTTTGCTATAGTTTCATGATACATACAATAAAAGATCGTATACAATAATGCAAACACAAATTAGGGGAAACAGGTCAACGCAATAGCCATCACATATGATAAGAGAACAAGGCATCACCCATCGAGTCAGCCAACATGGCCTTGAACCTGCTCAGGTCGGATTCACCTACGACCTGGTCAGGGAGTGCGTTCCAAGCGGTGATACAACGCTCAGACACAGATTGCTTGGTATATCACCAGGTTTTCTACCTTTGTTCTCTGAGTTTTATGTAGCTTCGATATAGAGCTCGATATTTGAATTTGTTGTTCAGTTTTTATTGCACTGTAAAATGTACATACTGATGAAAATTGAAACTGAAATCTTTGAAATACAGGCTTGAATAGCATGTGCACTTTCAAGCTGCCAAATATAACAGATCAGTTATATTTGGAGTTGTTTGTCATGTTGATCAGTTGAGATGAGTTGTTTGTCATGTGATTGCAAAACATGATGATATAGGTACCCATTATAATGGACGACGGTGAAAACAGGGCGCCTGGGGCGATTTGATCAAGGTTCGTGAAATTCAGTGACGTTTGGCATGAAGAAGGCCCACGAAGGGGGAGAAGTTCTAAATGTCACGTGACTAATATGCCCTCCGGCGCCCTGTTTTCACTGGCGTCCATTATAATCCTAGTTCTGGTGCTTGTGCTCTTTTTTGTCATCAATAATCCATGTGATGTTTTGAAGATTTTTTTAATAAAATTTCATTATATATTATGTATTTTTGCATGTATTGCATTGCAGTAGAAAATTGTTTGAAAGGTGGTACCCATTAAAAATGCATAATGCATTGGTACCTGGGTTATCATTTTTATTACCTACACAATTACCGGGGTTACATGAGCAAGTAAATGCGTATCAGGAACGGATTTTCCTATTCGCTCACCATTGTAGTCCGTTTGTAATGCGTATTAACTCTGTTCATGTAACCCCGAGCAATGTCAAAATTATTTACCATATTACCACAGCTTGAATGTCAGGTGACACTTGAAGGGAAGAGGTAAACATGTCAATAGATTAGCTGATATGTTGAGCATTGCTATTGGTGAAATCACCCTTTTGCACCATAGGCTCAAAATTGAATGAAACTGAAACCCACGATATTGTCACAAACCATACACCAATCTGGAAAGTTGTTCATATGATCATAATCTTGTACAATACAAGCAGAGTTAACAAAACCTAAACTAACCTGACCTAACCTTACCTGATATTAGTAGAGCAGATGTCATTTGAAGGTTTTCCAACCAAGGAAAGGTGATATTCACAGACATGCTTCTTTCTTACCAAACCAAAACAAACCTAACCTTACCTAACTGAACCTACAACCTACATACATGATACAATCTACAATCGTTCACCCTACAAACCTATGACCTACAGACCTACAAATCTACAACCTACAGGCTACAAACCTACAGTGCCTCTCCTTGGTTGGAAAACCTTCATGTGACATCTGCTCTAGTTATGCCCCTACCTAGCATAACATAACCTTACATTGACTCAAAAGTCAACATGTGGTTGGATCATGGATGTAACTTTTAAATGTTTTGTGTAAAAAGTAGCATAAGTCATGTGTGCATTTCTTCAGTTGTTAAAGGCTGCATGAGGAGGAACTGTCAACTGACCTTGCTATTCTATTTGAATTTGGTATGGGAATTTTTTGTTGATAGTTTATGCAATAACCCTGGTTTGTTAAATGTTTCTCATGCTGCTGATAGTGAAGCTGAAACAGCAATGTCCCTAAGAACCTATGGAGACAAGCCAGTAAGCTTTCAGCTGGAAGAAGATGGTGAATTTTACTGTATTGGATCAGAGGTGAGTTGAAGAAAATAAAGCTAGGTAGCTAGTTTTCCTGCTCATATAGGTGGTAGAGGCATCTGTCCCAAAATGGGATCGATAACTTCAGTTGCTGATGCTAATGGATGACAGGAAATCACACTGCAGCGAATGCAGACCATATAGGTGGCTGTGTGCATGCTGAGATACATTTGTCCTACCCAACTCACTGATTGATTGTACCTACCTCAGCCACCACTTTTCATCAGTCAGTGGTCGACTTAGTCTAATGTTTCCTATTCGTTCCTCATCCCCATGATGCTGAAATTGTTCCAATAGAGCTTAGGCCAAAAGCTTAATCAAATTAAGTTATTGTGATAATTGCAGCTTGCACTACCTGCATGGGCATTGTCAGTTTTCGATCACTTTTGTGTTTTTCCAATATATGCTATCGCCTATTGCCATTATGTGCTTCTGGTCTTCAAGTCGTTGCTGCATCAGTGCTCCATTGCTCCAGTGTCCTCTTTGTTTAGCTTTGTTTCAGTCCTCTTTGTTTAGCGCAAAATAGCCCCAGTCGAGTCGGCGCGTCCTAAACCCGCAATAAACAAACAATAGCTAGTTCTGGATATTATTTGACTGTACCGAAGGTGTACATATATTTAGCCGAGCTGAGCCAGCTTGACATGAACTTTTATTACTTCAGGTCGGCAATTATCTACGTCATTTCCGTGGATCTCTCTATAAGAAGTACCCAGGGCTTTTCCGAAAGTTTATAAATGTGGAAGAACGGAAGAAGCTTTTGGAGATGGGTATGTAAATTGTGTGCCTTTTCGCTTGCCATGAGCCTGATTATTTATTGAAGAGTGTTAACTATTTTGACCGGCGCTTGAAGCGCCTGGGGCTGGGCCCGATCTTTTAAATGTCATAAAGGAATTTTGGTAACATTGGCTGATGTTCAGCTGCAAATACGGGCAACGGCTATTAAATGCAAAATGATCTCAGCGTATTTCATTCATCGTAGATTGACGGTCCCTGGGATTATTTCGTTGAATCAGATGAGCAATGAGCATTCAACTTTGCCATCACTGCAGGTATCACAATGCTATAAAATGCAGTAAATATAATAGTAAGACACTTTATAAGATTGGGTCCAGCTAAGGCTTTGTTCATCTGGTCGATACTGATATTGTATAAGCAATACTTTGAGTTTAGAATGTCTCGACTCATCTGAGCATTTGATCTGATAGTTCAGGCTGCTGCCCGGTCAAGGTCAGAATTTACGTGATCGTTATGTCAACTCGGAGCTCCCGCCGTCTCTCCCCGCCCACCGTCTACCCCGTGCGCCCCTCGCCAGTGCCTTCCCCCCGCCCCGTTTACGCTGTGTACCGCTCACCAGTGCCTTCCCGCCCCGTTTACGCTGTGTACCGCTCGCCAGTCCCTTCCCGCCCCGTTTACGCTGTGTACCGCTCGCCAGTCCCTTCCCGCCCCGTTTGCGCTGTGTACCGCTCGCCAGTCCCTTCCCGCCCCGTTTACGCTGTGCGCCGCTCGCCAGGGCTCAGCCAGCACATCCTCACGTCAAATGTCTCGCTGCTGCGCGCCTCCGAGGTGGATGACCTGATCTCGGGTCGGGACAGCCGGTACCGCGCCTCGGGCGTCCAGAGCGTGCCGGCGCCCGTCGAGCTCGTCCCCTCCGCCAGGTCAGGTCACTGTCGGCTAGACTGGGTGAGGGAGAATTCCCTCTTGCCAGGTCAGGTCACTTTCGGTCAGGGCTGGGCGGGCAGATCGCACTGGAGCCCGTCGAGCTCGTCCCCTCCGCCAGGTCAGGTCACTGTCGGTTAGACTGGGTGGGGAGAAGGTCGGGTCTCTCCCATTCAGGCTGGGTGGGCAGATCGCACTGGACCCCGTCAAGCTCGTCCCCTCCGCCAGGTCAGGTCACTGTCGGTTAGGGCTGGGTGGGGAATAGTCCTCCTCCAGGCTCCAGCCCAGGTCAGGTCACTGTCGGTGAGGGCTGGGTGGGGAATAGTCCCCCTCCGCCAGGTCAGGTCACTTCCAGTTCGGCTAGATGAAGGAGAGCTGAGACGGGTTTTGCCAGATATATGTCATACAATAACTTTTTGCCGAGATGCCGATGCTTTTCTAGTGGGAATGCGGTGGATATTGAGTGCTATCATGCCATATGTCATCTGTCATGTTCGTGATATCTTACCGTTGCCGCTCTTCTTTGCTGTAAGATTCCTGTATAATGCTGAGGTCTGTGTTTCTCTGCTGTTGTAATTTTTGTCGCCACGAGACCTCTATTCTCTCCTGTGCGACCTATTTTGGTCATTACACTATGCAACAAAAAATGAAAGATTTTCTGTTCCTGGAAAGCGACCGAATTTTTCTTATTCATTTTTCTTATTCATTCTTACTCATTCATCATAACCGAAATGGGCATTAGTTTTGATCTGAAAATGTTTTTCCGGTTTTCAGGGCCGATTTTCGATTTTTGGCGCCAAAATTCGGTTTTGGGCCCACCGTGTCCGATGTAATTGAGCAATCGATTCACGGTAACTTTCATCGTCTTTCCTATGCCACGTGCTTTCGAATGATACCTGGTTTTGCATACTTGCGCCTTAAAATGACGTCATAAATCTATGTTAAAGTTAGAAAATGTTAAAATTTGGGACTTTTTAAACATTTTCTTCCATTTCGTTTCAAAATAGAGGAAAAACTAAAGGCCCTATCCAAATTCTGAGCCCAGTTCCTTGAAGAGCATTCAATTTCCGTTCGGAAGGTACTTTTTTAGTGCATTTTATCGGATTCCTGTGACGTCCAGATTGAGTTAACCTAAACACATATCCTAGGTCATATCACATAGCATTAACCTGATAACGTATGTTAACGCCATAGGATCAACGAGGGGTCAACTGAGGTCATGTTATTGACCCCTTGTGACCTCGGGTCACACGCAGGAACTTACTTTTGAGCAGTCCTGTCGCTCAGAATCTTGATCTGTACCTCCATTTGTTAGAGTGATTCTTCATGCACTGAACACATATTGTCATGGAAATGGCTGGGGGCCCGTTTTTCAAGTGACTCAATCTGGACGCCACAGTAAACCGATAAAATGTACTAAAGTAGTACCTTCCGAACGGAAATTGAATGCTCTTCAAGGAACTGGGCTCAGATTTTGGATAGGGACTTTAGTTTTTTCTCTTTTTTGAAATGAAATCGAAAAAAATGTCAAATTTTTTACAAAATTTCAACATTTTCTTACTTTAACATGGATTTATGACGTTATTTTTACACGCAAATATGCAAAGTCGGATATCATTCGAAAGCTTGTGGCATAGAAAAGGCGATGAAAGTTACCGCGAGTCGATTACTCAATTACACCGGACACGGTGGGCCAAAAACCGAATTTCGGGGCCAAAAATCGAAAATCGTCTCTGAAAACCGGAAAAGCATTTTCAGATCAAAACAAATGCCCATTTCGGTTATAATGAGACCCAATGAGTCCAAAAAAATCGGTCGTTACTCAGGAACAAAATGACTGTTGCATAGTGTTATGAGCCCTCTCTATCCTCTTGTGCCACCCCTGTTTAACTCGACCACCGCCGGCAGGGCACAGTGATGCAAATGGGGTTCACGAGTGGCCATAAATACCCAAAAGTCAAGTTTACCAAATCGAGTTAAATGCGATATGGCCGAGTAGACAAATGTTTGGGGCATCTGAAATCACATGGTTTTCATGTTTTTGTCAAAACCGGCCACGTGTATAATCGTCAGAAGTCGTGACATTTTCTAGGTCGTAAAATGACGGTCAGACACTCGCAAGTTCAAACGCCGCTGGTTTGCGTTCATTTCGTACAAATTGAAAAAAAATTATGCATGAGAATGATCCCTAAAGCCTTCTGCTTCTAGTGCCGGGTCACAAAAAGCCGTATCTCATTCGGTTTGGCGGTAATCTGACTATTTATTATCATGTTGCAATCACAGTTTTTTACTAAGAAAAAAATGCTTTCGTTTCACCTACAGCACTTAACACAGTGTGTGCCCGTTAGTTCACCATACCATAGCCTTCCCTAATCATTTCTGAGTCGCATCGTGAAAGAATTAAGGCGCTAGCACAGGGCTGACCGGCGCTACAGAGGTTTTTGTCCGGGCTGTCGGGTGCCTCAGCGGGCGCGCAGTGGTCGGGTGGGTGCCGCCGCGCGGCGTCCGGGCGGCGCGGCGGCGCGGCCGCCCGGGCCGCCCGCTGCGCCGCGGCACCCGACCGTGCCGGACGAAAACTTCTGTAGCGCCGGTCAGCCCTGTGCTAGCGCCTTAATTCTTTCACGATGCGACTCAGAAATGATTAGGGAATGCTATGATATGTTGCACTAACGGGCACACACTGTGTAAAGTGCTGTAGGTGAATTGAAAGCAAATATTTTTGGTAAAAAACTGCGGTTGCAACATGATAACAAATAGTTAGCTCACCGCCAAACCAAAATAGATACGGCTCTTTGTGACGTGGCATTAGAAGCAGCAGGTTTCGGGGATCATTTTCATGTATAATTTTTGCAGTTTGTATGACATGAACGCACGCTAGCGGCACTTGAATTTCAAGTACCTGACAGTCATTTTACGACATTGAAAATGTCTCGAGTTCGACTTCTGACAATCCTACACGAGGCCGGTTTTGACAAAAACATTTAAATCATACTTTTTCAGACACCCCAAACATTTGTCTGACTGATCATATTACGATTTATTCGATTAAGTTAACTTGAATTTTGGGCCTTTTTCGTATTTATGGCCACTCGTGAACCCCATTTGCATCACTGTGCAGGGAGACCAAAGGCCCCCGGAAGAGCACGCCCCACATGCCGACGCTGCCGAGCAGCTCTCACATGGACCCGGTGCCTCAGTCGACGCCCATCAACCGGAACCGCGCGTCGGCCAAACGGCGACGCACGTTCCCATTCTGGTAGGTAGGTCGACGGCGACGCGGACGCCCTTACCATCCTAGTAGGCCATCGGCGCCGCACCTTTCCCATTCTGGTGGGCAGGGCGGGGTGAACGAGACTGGGATCTGGTCGGGGTCTCTGGTAGCTGGAGTCTGTTGGAGACGGTAAAGAGTGACAAGTGAATATTGCTACGGTAGTCATGATAGTTTTAGTAACCGGCTGCGTTACTTATTGGTGCCATGGGATTTAGTATCATATTATCGTTATCACATTTGCAGCCGCGCTGAAGTGATTTAGTCCTCATAACGTATCTTCATATTTTATTTCTCATGTTTTTTCCCCAACTGGTACTTGGTAGTATCTCTAGTGTATCGTGATGTGTGCTTCTGCCGCTTTTTTTTGTCGGAGGGACGCATGCATTGTTTATCTGAACCCTTGTTCTGCGCTTTGGTTAAACGACTTTTCGAAACTTATTTCAGTTATGCTAAGGACTACTTCATTTCTTCTATATGTTTTTCAGAAACTTCACTCGGCGCCTGCTCTATACCAGTTTCAGTCCAGTCTCTGGTCGGACTGTCGAATACAGTAATGTCTTGTTCGACCTGTAACCGTCCAGCGATTGACGTTCATTTATCCCTGCTTTGTGCTGCCAGTTTCGACGACACGGACCCGGAGCTGATCCACGACAACGCCATGCAGGAGGAGCAGCTGGTGCCCATCCGACTCGACATGGAGATCGACGGACAGAGGCTGCGGGACATGTTCACCTGGAACAAGAACGGTCAGTGGACCGGACGGGGTGGGGCGATTACAGGCGATCATATCGAGGGACAGAGGCTGCGGGACATGTTCACCTGGAACAAGAACGGTCAGTGGACCGGACGGGGCGGGGCGACTGCAGGCCGCTCTATTGCAGGCTGCGGGGAGCAGCTTTCATCCGCTACTTTTGTCTTTAAGTAGTACCTTTTACTACATGCGAAGGTGCAAGCATGTGCTTATTGTAATGTAATTTTGCCTTGTATCAGTGTTAGGTATAAGCATATTTACGCCAATACGACTTGCCTTGAGTATGTTCCTCGTTTGCAGAATCTTTGTCGACACAGCCTGATGGTCCCCTCTCCGTTGTATACCCCGTCCGCCAGAGCAGTTCAGTGAATCCGCCCACATCTCCCCTTTCTCCCCCTCAGAGACGCTGATTACGCCGGAGCAGTTTGCCGAGGTTCTGTGTGACGACCTGGACCTGAACCCGGTCACCTTCGTGCCGGCCATAGCGCAGAGCATTCGTCAGCAGCTGGAGGCCAGCAGCGCCGAGTCGAACTGTGGCGACACCACTGATCAGCGTGTCATCATCAAGGTGACGAGCCGCGCCGCAGACTGAGGGAGGGGAGGGGTTCTGTATCGGACGGGAAAGGGAGGGGAGGGATGGTCGATTTGGGTGAGTGCGTTGCATGGTCTGGTAGCTTGTTCTGGAACTGTGCCAGGGGTGGAATGAAAGGCTGGGGCATCACCGTGCAGGGACGCGATGGGCTGGGTATATTCATAGGATGATATAGTTGCCATCCACGGTGCATACATTTCAGTACCGACCTCTGATAGAACTGGGGTAGTACTGAAGCTATGGTTGTCGAGGACTGAGCCTTAGACGGACGCCAATCGCTCCTACCCTGATTTCCTGTCGGTCCCTGTTCTCTGTGGCCTGTTGCCAATATTACCTGGCCTGACCGTCACTATGTCTCCTCTGGCAGCTGAACATCCACGTGGGTAACATCTCGCTGGTGGACCGGTTCGAGTGGGACGTCTCAGACCCGCTCAACAGCCCCGAGCAGTTCGCGCAGCAGCTGTGTGCAGAGCTCGGCCTGGGAGGGGAGTTTGTCACGGCCATCTCGTACAGGTGAGTGTTTGTACGGTCGGCCCGGACTGACCACTGACGGCCCAAACCGAGCCCTCATCGACCTTAAAGTTCTAGTGAGACCTGACCAGCCTCTGGGCCCCTGACCGCTGAAACCTGATTCCAAACCGACCTCTGACCGACCTTCACCCTTGATCACTCTGAGACCTGACCGATTCCGACTGCCCCTGACCCACCCGTACCGCCCCGGAATTGAACGCCATCGAACTCTGATCGACCGCTGACAACCCTGATCGGTCTCAAACTGACCCATGTGGCATACCTGATCGAATACATAATGACAATGTCTTGTCAGCCGGTTTCTTCCTTGTTTTTACGATTCTTCCTAAAACAAACGAAAAACCAGAAAAATAAAAAAACAAGCGAAATTCTTCCTAAACGAAAAACAAGGATTTTTCCTTGTTTTTGTCATTATGTGTTTTAAGTTTCACGATATTTTTTCCTGATTCCAGTGTAGCTGTCCTTATGCTCAGTAACTGGCCGCTGTATCTGTCCGTCTGTTCGGTATCTGACCGTTTATATCCGCCCTCCTCTGCCGTCCAGTATCCGCGGCCAGATCAGCTGGCACCGCCGGTTCGCGTTCAGCGAGCACAGTCTGACGACCATCGAGCGGCCGTACCGCCAGCAGCCGGAGGCAGACGGATGGGCGCCCTTCCTCGAGTCGCTCACCGACGCCGAGATGGAGAAAAAGATCCGCGACCAGGACAGGAACACCAGGTCAGTGGGAAGACTGCTCCAGGTACTGAGACTAGGCTGAGCTCGGGGTTCCTGGTGACACGAAGCACTTTGTATCTCGTTCACCGCGGACAGCTTCGTGCTTTTGTCCTTTTGGTGAAGCCGAACGGTGCTGGGACAGCAGTGGTGTTCGGTGAGGGTTGTGTGAAGGTCCCGCTGTGACCCAGGCGTTCTCGCGTTGCGTTGCTGTTCATCTGTTAAGTCAGCGGTGTCTTTCCCGTTCCGTGGCTCCTCCTGACCAGATTACATGCCCTGCGGCGTTACAGACGTATGAGGAGACTGGCCAACACGACACCCGGCTGGTAGATGCACCTACCGTCCCAGTCGAGCCGTGCCACCGAGTCTACCTGACCGTCAGACTCACTGAGGTCTCCACGTGCCTTCCTACCTTACCGTCTGGTGCGTCAGATGGTCGGTATCGGAGTCGTGCTCAGAGGTGGGTCACTCTGCGACACCAAGACGGCACCGAATCACGGTCACAGCCGCCGAGCAACGCTGTGGGGATCGTCCAGTGACTGGAACTGAGGAAATCGTGTCGTTTGTGGCTAGGCTTGGGCAATGGGCAGTGTGCCTTGTTTTTGTTCGGGGATCTGAAGAATGTGCCTTGCTGGGTTTCAGGAAATATTGAGGACCGTTTTATGTTAGGGTGGGCTCAGGAAACGTTGTCTTGATGTTTACGGTCCAGCAGGGAGTGCCTTATTGGTTTCAGGGCGCTAGAAAGATGGTATTTTGGAGTTCAGGGCTTGGAGTAGCGTTCGTTTTAGGGTTCAGGGTTCGGGAAGCCGTGCAGTACTGTGTTGAAGTCTCGGGAGGTCGTGCCTTATTTGGGTTTGAGTTCGGGAGAGCGCGTTTTATTGAGTTCAGAATATTGGGTGTTTGTATTGTCAATGTGCATCTCAGCTGTGCCTTATGTATTTAGTAAGTCATGCTATTTATATTCAGGGTAGTAGCAAAGTCAAAGAGCAATTATCCAAGACAGGGTTAGTTTTTCAGGACGGTTTAAAGGGCAGGGGATCTATTCTATGGAATAATTCAGACCAAGGCTGCTCGGAACTAACAATTAGCAGTGATGGGGAAGTGTGTCACAACATCTTGTAGTACAAGTTATGTATATGGAAGAGCATATACCACGCCTCGGGCATTTACAAGTCAAGTCATTAATCTAAGTCTTTCGCATTCATTTGTGTAGGAAATGTATTTACAATATTAAGTCATTTTGTTATTAACGGAGACCTGTTGGTTCCAAATATATGTTATCCGCCCTTACTTTGTCTGAATAGTGAACGATTCTTTTGGCGAATTCACCCTTTTGTCGTTAACATTATTTTGCTAAAGTGTGCCTGAAGAAGCTTGGACAAACACTTACATTTGTTTCTGTTTAAGGCGATTTTCACAAATGCGCTAAAATTTCTGAGTAGTCCTCTCTAGAGCGGTGCTGCATCTAACCGTGCCGGCTAGTAAGCCAGCCTCTGAGCGAGCATGCTTTCATATCTTTAAAAGCAATACTACTAAAACCCAAACACCAGTGTACATTGTACATCTATGTATTGCTGCAACAAACCTTCATGAAACACCGACAATTGAACCTGGACGCATGGCGGCCCCTCCAAGTCACCAAGCGCAGCACTTCTCGAAATAACAGCATGGTATGGCGTGTGTTCGAGGGGAGGGAACGTCGCATGTTCCACTCTATCAGTGTCTGTGGATCTAGCGAAGCCAAGGATGTCAGTTTAGTGCAAAGTTCTAAAGATGCCTAATGAATGTCCTAATTCTGGAAAATATATGCAATTTTTCGTTTTTCACGATGCGTTGAATGACATCCAGCTAAAGTATGGTTTGATTCTCAGCACGAAGATGTCTCGCTTATCTGACTGTAAATTGTAGCAATCACTGAATGCCCACATCTATCTATAAAATGCCACAACTTAATGTCTCGGTAACCCCCAGATGCCCTCAGAAATGCCCAATCGTGCGGTACGGCGTCTGGCGTGCGCTGTCGGCGCAGCGGCCGGCGGCGGTACCACTGTTTCTCAGACGATCCGCTAGGTGGCAGGCAGCAGTGGCTCCTGAATGAGTCGGCGAAAGTTAAGTCCGGACCGGCGGAATTTCACATACTGGCCGCCGTCCAGCAGGTCGATCACTGAAAACAGACACATGTAGGATATCTCACCAACAGCCGGCTAGGCGACCCCACCGAATGGCAGGAATGTCACGGGAACTAGACAAACACCGGAGATTAGCTCACAAACAAGAAAGAGAAAATTAAATAAAGAATTTGACAAATTCTCCCAACCTCAAAAAGCAGATCGAGTGTTGAAACAAAATGTAATAGGGTCGGCTGACAATGAGGCTACCCATCTGTTTCAGCCAATTCTAAGAGCTACGCAACTTTTATGCTACTTTTCAAGTGTCTCCGCTCGTAAAATAAAGCAAATACCTAATCTAAACACCATTGATGATACTCGTAATGAACTGAATAACCAGCCGGTTTGGGACGTACCCTCGACCTCTGCGTCGAATCCTGTCGGCAGTCCGGTCCCCCGGCTGTTGCTGTGGACGGCAATGCGAATCTCGCCGCGGGCGAACACCATGTGTGGTCGGGTGCCCTCCTGTGGACGGCAAGTGGAGGGTCAGAGGTCACCAGTGTTGGAATTCTCATTTTCAGTCCTGGTCCCGGAGAATAAAATCTGGCCGGAGAATAGCAGCCCCAAAATTGGATATGCGGCCGTTCTATAGCCTTGATGCGGCCGTGACACTGGCGGATTCGCGGAGGGGGGGGGGGATGTGCATTCGAACCATTTTCCCCTCCCGCAGTATCCGAAATTAACGAAATTTCCCTGTTTTCCTCTCAAGAAAAAATTCATGTGAAATTAGCCTAAAAATCCCGATACTGTAAGGTAAGGTAAGGTAAGGTAAGGTAAATTGTGAAAGCAAACGGCAGACCCCTCTTGGCACGAGCCGGCAGAGGTCACAAAAACTTGATAACCTACTGTCAGTATGACTTCGACAGGAAATGTGTTGTTTATAGAACACATCTTCCCTTGTTGAGCACTGAAGCTCGACGTTTCTTTAACTTTGAACTTGAGTTGCTTATTAACCAGCTGACTGGCCTTCCGACAGGGACCTACAAATGGGCGTCTCCTAGTCCTGCCTCGCCTGATCTTCCCGGCTGTTCCTGATCCACAGCCATCAAGGCTCACCCAGCTGACGTCGACCACCAGAAGACGCCTGTGATCCTGTTTGTGCATTCCCATGTCAATCCATATTTATTGGAACGCGTTAACCCTATTCCTGGCGGGGGGGGGGGCCTCAGGAGCCCCCCCCCCCGAGGTTTTTTGGTTATTTCTCCCAAACGCGTTGAGCTAGGAAGCTCAAATTTTCTGACTTTTCCTAAAAGGCTTCTACGCAACATGTCTGAAAATTTTGAGTTGATCTGACCTCAGGTCAGGTCACCAGAGGCGGTTTGGTGACCCTACCTCAGAAAAGTTTGCAATCACGCCAGAGCTAGAGTTTTTGACCGATCAATTTCTTCTCTTCAGGGTTTAGTTAGGGTACCAGTATGTGCAATTTGTATATCTCGGAATTTTGATATCGGTGACCTAAGGTCAGGTCAATTTCGCGACCACCCCATTATAAGTCAATGGGGGAAAAATCAACTCCCTGTTTTTACCACTAAAACGGGTCGGAATGGCCCCATATACCATACATGACTTCATATACGATCAACCTTCACTACCTTGAGGTCTGTTTTGCTGTTGGGCAGCTGTGAGGTCATGTGACGTCATCAAAGGTCACCAAAGGTTTTTGGCCAATAACTCCGTACAGGAACAAGATACAGACGCGTGCGTGGTCTCATTGTGTTCAGCTCGTCAAGACGCATCGAATGATATACATGATGACCTCGAGGTCACGTGACCTGAGGTCAACCTTTGACCTTGACCTTTCGAGGTCAAAATATATATCATTCGATGCGGATTGACGAGAGGATCACGATGATGCCCTTAGTTTGTTCCTATCTTGACTAATTCGAAAGTTATTCGAGAAAAACTCTCTCCATATCTAGCGCCGCCATTTTGACTTTTTCGACCCCTGTGACGTCATCTTTGACCTGACCTGAAAATGACCTTAGTAAAAATTGTAGATCTTGGCCGTGCGTATCCGATGCCGTTTACCGCTTGTCGCTATCTTGCTTCGTTCTCGAGATCTCAGGGGGGGGGCCGAATCGGCCCCCCCCGCCAGTTTCTTGTCCCGGCGGAGCCCGCCAGGAATAGGGTTAAAATGAAACATCTTTTTCTGACACATTGTGTGTAGAAGTTCGTTACAGCGCAGCGCAGCGAATGCAAATTAACTTAAATCGTTTTTGTTTTTATTGGAAGGACTGATGGCCATGCAAAGATAAGCGTTTTGATTTGTTAATGGCAATCTCTTTCGGCTTGAAAATGTCATTACGGAGCTGTGGGATGATGACATGATAGGGTGGAGCGGAGCCATTGGACCGTACGTACCATCGATGGTGCGCCACAGCGACAGAGACCGTCAAGAGGACGAAAGTGGCTACGGTGAGCCGTATCAGGAAAGGCCTTTCAGGTGGGACGGGAGTTCCCGTTTGGACAGCCCACTCTATCGCTCATATAGGGCCATCCCGAAGAGGATTTAGATCGGTCGAGATCTTGTCCTCGCCACCGCGACGGTTATCTGGTGAGGGTTGAGTACCAGCCCGGAATAGATTGTGAGCGAGGGTGCGAATGGGTTGGTCTGAGGATGGGAAGGATAATTTCAAAAATAATTTGAAGCTGTACTCATAAAAATGCGAGAACCTCACCGTTGCCAACGAGACTGTTCACTTACTAGCCCTAGCGAGTGAATATGCATGTACCTACCTACTTAGTATTTTATATCTAGGCATATTTAGGCGTGCACGGTGCAACACAGGCGATAGGTATGACGCCAATATATCATCTACTACGGGTGATGAATGATGATATATATGACCAATATATACGACTACTGTGGGTAACTATGCCTCTGACTGACAACAAGATAAGCGAAGAGTCGGGGAGAGACTGTGATCTGAGGAAAGAGAGGGTGACACGACGCTCTTATGACAAGAGAAGGGATTGAAAATTGTGCTGTGTGTTCGGTGCAGTCGAGGAGAGTCGGAAATAAGGGAAATGTACCACTTTTCTCAAATTAGTTGTTACTACAGTTTTGCGATTTTTAGGCTTATAGGTAATGATCAGAAAAGAAAATATTTCATATTTACAAAGTTTTTTTAAATATTTTCATATAGGAAGAACTATATTCCATCTTTGGTAGAGGCTATAAAATAGTGTTCCACGCGGAAGCTTAGGATTACGCGTTGACCAATCACATTGCGTAGTTTAAAACCAACTGCACGCTGATTGGCTGAGCTTGGCCTCTGCGACAGGTGGCTACAATTTCCGCATTCTTACGTAAGACACCACATTCCTGCGTAAGACACTAATTTCGGAACGATAAATGGAATATCTTTGTCTGGGTGATCGCTCGGCTGTAAAAGCTCCTGATTTGTGCTATTGTATTGTATTGTATTGTATTGTATTGTATTGACACCAAAAGCCTTCCACATATGGCGTGGCGATTACGGCTTAGGATTACGAGCTTAGGATTGCTAGTCTCAACTCAAGCTGCATAACTGCTATTCCAGTTCTAAAACCATGTTAAAAGTGGTACATTTCCTCCGGCGTTTCGTTGTGTCGATGGCTGATCCCAGTCAGCATTATTACCAAGGCCCCACATGGAGCCAAGGTGGGCCACTTGGTGGGGCCCACATTAATTTGTCCCTGGGCAAACGGTGGGGCCCACCAGGGCTGGCCCACATGGACTCAAGATGGGTACCATGTGCCATGTGGGGCACACGTGGGCCCCATATGGCTGCCCACATCCAGCCCACCTACACCCCATTACATGGGCTACCCAACCAGTGCCCATGTTTAGTCCACCATACGGGAACACCGCGTTAATGGCTGCAAAAATATATGCTCACCAAAATTCCTGGATATGCCCTCCTACATAGTGCAGACAATCCGGGTGAAATGTCATGGCGGCTCCCGCTCCGGCTCCGAGTAAAATGATCCGGCTCCGGCGGCTCCGGCTCCGGCTTCTACTCAGTACATCCCACTGAACATCCCCTATGCGATCAATTAAATACGGGTGGAAGAAAAAAGGCGATGGGATTGGTACACGTTGCTTCTGTATTTGTATAACAAGGCTATTTTGAATACCACATTGTTTTACGCCTTGTACTGTCAAACCGACCTCTGTAAATAATTGTTTCCTCTTAACCCGCGCCCTGCTGGGGGGGGGGGTGTTTGAACACCCCCCTTGTGGTTTTTCGCGAATATCTCAAAAACGGGCGGCGCGGAGCGCCGCCGTTTTTGTTACACCTTATCATACATCAATTCTACACATGTTGTGAAAATTTCAGACCAAGGTCATTCAAGGTCAGGTCACCAGGTCACTTGAAGTGACCTCACCTCATAAAAAGTTTCAATGTCTGTCATAGCTACACCGAGTGACCGATCGCTTTGAAACTTTCAGCGATTGCTAAGAGCAATAGCATGTACAAAATGTATATCTCAGAATTTTGATATCGATGACCTAAGGTCAGGTCAATTTTGCGACCTCCCCATTATAAGTCAAGGGGAGAAAATTGAAATGCGCCTCTTTTGGACGAAAGACATTATAAACACTCCCAAACACTGAATTATAAGTGGTTTAGACACACTGAACATGGAAATGGTGTCCGTGACTCCTGCTTATGCCCTGAGGTCATCTTAGGTCACGAATGGTATCTAACAGTTTTTCGCAAATAACTTTTGATAAAGGCATGCTAGAGCGATGAAAACGCCTTAGATGTGTTCAGCTCGACGATACGGATCGACTGATATGCAACATGACCCTTTCCGGTCAGGTCATGACCTTGACCTGAGATCAAATTTTCAAGTTGACCTTTCAAGGTCAAGTTATAGTTCATTCGATGCGTCTTGACGAGAGGAACACGATGCCGGTAAAAGTGAGCTCGTACAAGGCTTGGGTCAAAAGTTATTGCAGAAAAACTGTTTCCGAAAAAATCGGCTATTTTTGCAGTTTTTGCCCCCTGCAGGCGCTACCGTTGACGCTAGGTCAAATCTGAGATAATTATTCAGAAAGGGCGTTAATAGGGCTATCGAATGCGCTTTTCCGCGGCGCTGTAGCTCTATTGGTTCCCGAGTTATGCGTTGGCTTTTTGGAAATTGTCGACATTCGACCTGGAAATCGGCGAAATTTTGCCTTCAATGACCTCTGGTGACCTGATCTTTGACCTGACCAAAAATTTACCGAAGTGATTTCCTCATTATTTTTGACGCTCTTTTGAACGCCGCCTTCCGCGTATCGCTACGTGGCCCAGGAGCCGAGTTAGAAGGGGGGTGTTCAAACACCCCCCCCCCCCCAGCAGGGCGTGGAAATCCAGGACCCCCAGCCGGGCGCGGGTTAAGAAAAGGAGCCGGAGTCGCCCCCTTTTTTGACGGCTCCGGCTCCGGCTCCGGCTCCGGGCTACATTGTTTCACGGCTCCGGCTCCGGGCAAAA